TTGCTTTCGATATATCGTTATATGTTTCACAGTTCTTATCAACGTTTACCTTCCGTAAGAAAAAAAGCACGAATTTCCGAAAGATTATCGAATCATCCTTAATAATAGTTCGAGGTCTCTTTCCGTACGTATTTTTGAAAGAAATAGCCGTTATTTGTAATAGTATTGTAAAATCTCCTGCACAAGTGAAGATGTTGGCAAAGATACGCTAAAGAAACTTCATCAATAAATTCGATATGAATTTTCCGATCGAGCGACAACGTTATGTATCAACGTCGCGAAGACTTTCAATTTCCTATTAATTCCGATTAAATATTCAAAGATTTATTGAAAAACGATAAACATCCGGCACGTATGTATGTTGGATGATCTATCGTTCGTATACAATATTTATTCCATTTATTTCAATTTTTATTACATACAATAATAATTTTTTAATTTTAACGCTGTGTTATAAAAGCATGCTGGCTACAATCTTTTCATTTTTCCACTGTAGGACTCAATTACAGAAATAGATAGTGATTTAATAGCCTAATAATTTTTTTAAAATATTCGGTACAAAACATAATCAAATATTAGAGAAAATATTTTTGTTTAGTCTTTTTATCGATTTTAACAAATATTTTACAATCAATGGCAATATAAAACCTAGACACATATAAAATATACGTAACATATATAAATTATTAATAAAAAATCTGTCTAAAAGCCATGTCATATTTCAATAAAAACTTATCTCTGTTAAATTCTCTCGATTTAATATTTCACTACATTGATGAATTACTCGACGCAATAGATGCAGTATTTTCTCAATAGATTAAATCATGGCGCTCGCATGTATTTTCTCCAACTGGGAAAGAAATCGCGATTTTTCTTGTTTTTATATTTTCCAAGCGAAGTAAACTTATTTACATTATTCAAATGACACTTCTCTCAGATTTCTCCTTTTAGCCTCATCCAATATTACTAACAACCACTACAGACGACGACGGACGGAATTCATCGTGTACCGCGGGGGATCAGCGTCGCAGTGGATTAAACTACGCGCGGCCACGTCGGGAATGCGTTGATAACATTATGCGCATCTTTTTACCTCATGAATGTCTCCGGGATGCGGACGAATGAAACGAGCGGATTTATATAGCGGAGGCGAAAGATTCTCCTCTTTCCCGTGCGCTTGACAAGAGCGCCGTCCATAATATTCATTCTCGAGGTATACGCCCCCTTTTGTAATACAAGGCGAAAAATCAAAATCCCACGGTACAAGTCATAATCCCCAGCTGTCCTTCTCACCGACTTATTATCCACATTATACAAATGACTCTTGCCTCGACATTACGCGAATCGTGTCGAATTCGACATCGCGCGGAGAACGATTAAATTCATAGTCGCCGGGCAAGAGAGGGAACTATTCCGCAAGTTCTCCGCTTTGCAGTTTCGCAATTGCAGATTATGCGAAGGAAGGTAGACGGGGCAACGGTAAGGAAGGAAATGATAGGCGATGAGAGGTCGTTCGAAAATTTCAGGGGTTAGCGGAGCAATCGACGAGATAACGCATAAAGCGCACGGTTTAAACTGCATTATCTAAACCGGTTGCAGAGCAGAATACGCGCTAATTGCAGTTGCGGCGATTTAGTTACTATCCTTATGCGTCACATTATATAATCATATCAAAGAAAGCATTTTTGGCAAAAGAAAAATAATTAAAAAAAAAAAACATAAACGTGGCATTTGTAATTTAATCTCCCCTTTTTATGCAATTCAGATATGTTATTAATACTAGAAGATCTGCATGCACAAAAAAAACCCTCATAAAAAGTTTTTTTTTTAATATTACAGCATAATTTAAAAAATATCAAAATTGAATAAGATTTACGATCTTAAAACCTTGAACTAGTGACATGGACGCGATAACTGTCGTCTACATCTATCAGAAATATGCTCGAATGCACTCGGAACCGCGCAATATAGTTACCCCGGGAAAATAGCTTTCATTCGCGGCGGAATAATTGAGGTCACTACCGCACCACCACGATGAACACGGAAATCGGCCGAAATCCGGGGAATCGAATTTTCCGCCTTTGCTCCAATTTCAGCCGGCTTTTAATAAGTCAACAGACGGGCTTGTTCGATATTCAAGCCCAATGTACGGCTCACGGCACGGGCCAATACCGAACGATCGTCGTCGTCGTCGTCGTCGTCGTCGGCGAAGGTGCGCGTTTTGTTCCAACGCGTCACGTGCACGCCGTCACCGCGAATCACTTCAAATTTGACACCGCATTGACGCACGTACGCAGTCGGTTTAAGCCATGTTTGCACTGCCAGTGTTCCGCTAACGAACCTTCTGCTGGAATCCCCGAACCCGTCTAGCGAACCCTTAACAATCTGACTGACTCCACGTTGTCACCGTATCCAGCTGCGCGCCACGTTTTGCTCTCCGCTTCGCATACCCTCGCTTTAATGACACAAGTCAAAACTTCTGATGCATCAAAATCATTTTTTTCAACTCTCAATTGCGAGGTTTTAACTTTGCGCTCTAGGAAAAAATTCGAAAAAAATAATTCTTGATTGAATATGTAAACAGACTAAAGTTATCACTTTTTTTAGTTATCTTTAAATGTAGAATTATTTAACATCCCTGTGTATTCTCTCTCTCTTTTTTTCTTTTAAAAATAAAGTGCTATTACACATACAAATTATACACAAATTATATTTAGATTTACAAGTACCAGTAAAAATTATTATATTTTCCATGAACAAGTTATTATTACCTTTCTTTATAATTCATTTCTTTTGTTTTGATTTCTGAAACAATTCCGTCTATGATAACGTTTCAATTAAAAATGATATTTGTAGTTACTCGCAGAAAAGATTCATTTTTTTACATTTCAAGTCAGTAAATAAAGAGGCGGAAAAATATGATGCAAATGATGTTCTCCAAGAGCCATGCGTACATATTCATCGATTGTTTAGACTTACAGAAGATGTACCCAAAATATACTTTGAGACATATTCAAATGCGCGAGAACTGCAGAAACACGGTCAAACAACTGTTAGCATATAGAGTCAGTAGAGAAGAGAAGGTGAGTTGTTCCCTGTCAGAAACAGTTACGAACGCATTTAAGGAAGTTAAATCGGGATGTTTGTTCCTTAACATTCAGTGGCTCGTGTAAATTCAGGAATTCACGAAATTAGTTTAAGTTTTCGAAGCAATATAATAGCCTATGCTATGAATAAGGAATGTTTTCGAACCAAACCACTATTAATTCCAGCTTACTAGTATATCGAATTGCTAATTATACTATAAAACGACATTTTAAATCTCTATAATAATTTAAAATATTTAATTTTACATTTTTATATTGCACAAACAAGTGTCTAACAATTCCAACTTACGAGATAAACTCGTTGTTATAGAATGTAAATTAGATATAAGCGAGGAGTGGCAGAATTTGGAAGCATCAGGTGTTATTATTTGAGAAAGACGTGAAAGGCACGAAAAAACAATGAATGCAAATGCTGCTGTTGGCCGCGTAAGCGCTCTCTCTCTCTCTCTCTCTCTCTCTCTCTCTCTCTCTCTCTCTCTCTCACGTAAATAAAGAAATAATTTATGATCGTTACACAATGATCGTCATAAATCGCATTTCTGCCGGTCGACAGAACGTGCCGTTATGCGAGGAACTCCGCTTCCGCCGTCAGCCTCAACCCCTTGCCGCGCGCTGTCGATATTTTACCGCGGGAACGCAATACACGGCCGGCATAATTTATCTGTTTTCAAATATGCCCGCGCGCCAATAGATTTACATATTTTAATATAAATTCCAAAATACCGGCCTGTCCATACAGACAGCCCTATGAAGCGCCGAGAGAGTACGTCTTTATCGATCATCACCCCGCTGCTCTTCTGCGCTTTAAATCTTGCTCTTCTTAACCCCGCCACTCCTTAATGTAACAGCTAAGAGCACTTAAAAGCGAAGAATAAAAACGAGACGGATTATTTGCATGGCTTTGTGTTATTAATAGTAACATAACAAGTAAGATAAAAACATGCGCAATTATCTTAACTGAATTCGTGTATAATTTATTTTTTTACGCATATTGAAAAAAATAGTGTAATCAGAGTTAATATAACAAAATAATAATCTTATTATTCAATATAATATCAAGATAAGTTATATCGACCATATTTATATAAAAAATTGCGAACAAACTGAAAAGTCAAAACAGTTTCCAAAATGATGTTTTAAATTATATTACGCAATCATCCAAATGTATAAAAAAATCTTGTCAATGTAGTATTCTATTGTAGCACTACGGAAAAGAGACGGAATCCTAATTGCATTAATTTTATGAAGTTTTCCAAATGTGTAATAAATGTAAAATATCTCGTGTGTAATAAATCGAAATCTAAAATATCTCTTTAAAACATTGCAAGAAATTTAATCACAAAGCTAGAATTTAAAGCATGCATTTAAATTTTGACAGGACTCGACATTTGACACACGCCGAGAAAATCGATTTTCCTCTCGCGGCTGATACGCGACGTGATTTCTCCTCACTCGAATAGTCTTCTACTCGAAACACGGCGGAATTTGTTTGATATCTTAACTATCGCTTCAAATACCTCCTTGGTTGACAGTCGAGCTCGGTACAATGTGAGCTGCTATCGTCGCCGGAAGTTCATGTTTAGAAACACGCATACGGATACGCCATAGTGTGTAGGAAACGCGCGTTTCGATCGTTCGTGTAAATGCCATATGAGACACCGCTGTATTTGTCATGCGCCAAGTAGAATGTAATCGCCGGTCGCATGTAACAACTACTTTGTCGAAATTTGAATGAAGCGATTACATTGTGAACGTATCGGCGATAATGTTGCGTTACGATAAGCAAAACGATATGTCACAAATTTGAATTTTTTGGATGTATCTTAAAGCGATAGTGCGCGAAGCATCGCGCGCTGATAAATACGATAATAAAAATAAATATAGAAATTATTATTTTTATAATTTTTTTATTAGATTACTTCTTTTCGCAATAAATTTAATTGCAACCTGAGGTAAATATACGTGTATATGTGTGTATACTATAAAAAATGATATCAGCAAAATGTATATTAGAGGCAAAGTATATAAAATATTACAAGCACACGCGTGCACACACATACATATATATATACACACACAAAATAACATACCAAATTTTATATCCATGCAAAAAATGCAAAGCAACATATAAGCTTAGTTCACGCGGACCAAGTTTCTTACTTTATAGTATATAAGTTTCTTGTAAAGTGATGTATACTAAGATGAGCATGTTACTAAACATATTTTTCATGGTAATTCCCCAGTATGTTGAATAGTAAGCTCTGTAATCTGGAATTAAACAACGTGTAAAACAATGTTTTTATTAAAGAAAAAGTGCGTTAACGAAAATTAAACCTGAACTTCCTGTCGTGTTCCAAGAGCATAAATGATCGCATCCGCTATGTCTTCTGGTAGAATAAATGGTATTTTTTCAAAAATATTACGCTTTTTTTCTGATTGTGAAGCTATATTCGTTTTTACGATACCAGGACTAATGCTCTGAAAAGAATGGATGAGTAGGAGTATATCTGCGGAAAAATTAATAAAAAAGACGCACACCACATATATATGCAGAGGGATCGCCATCCTCTGACAAGAGGTACGGAAGTAGAGAGAGACATGAATTTAATTGATCGCAACTTACTGTAATTCGAATAGAAGGTTTAATGTCTGCTATTTCACGTCGTACCGTATGAGTTAAAGCAACAGTTGCGTGCTTAGAAGCGACATATAGATTAAAATCCAATGCAGCATCAGTTTTTCCTTCACAAGGTTTTGCTGGAATACAATGACCCAGAACACTACAAATATCAAAATTATTTATATTACCAAATTGCTAATAAATGTTAATGATAAATAAAAGTCGTTGTATTTTTCATGGAAAATTCTTTACATTTTTGTCTTACTATGGAAAACCAGAAATAAATGCTTGTTTTGAAAATAATTTATTTATGTTAAAAGTTTGTCTAAACTTATTTCAAAACTTGTATATATTGTAATTAATAAACAAATTAAGTAATAATACCTGTTGACATTAAAAATGTGCCCCTCGACATTTCGGTCGCGCATGGAATGTACTGCCTTATTTATACATGCAGCATATGCCGTGACATTAGTATTTAATATTAATTGAAATGATTTCCATACACCATCTGCAAGTAAAATTTATGAAATTTTTTAAAATGTTTTAACACGACAGATTAAGCCTTCTATTGTTTTTCTTTCTCTCTCTCTCTCTCTCTCTCTCTCTCTCTCTCTCTCTCTCTTTCTCTCTCTTTCTCTGTGTAATAATTTATATATGTAATGTAATGCCATACCAATTACGCGCGAATATTCACAATAAGCAGCATTATTAATCATAATATCCACGCCTTTCATCTTTGTCTCGATTTGTTCGAATGCCTTGTTGATGTCCGCTTCGAAAGTTACATCGCACCGTATAATTTCTAATATGCCCGGAAGTTTTTGCTGTTCCTTTTTCGCTCTAAGTTCGTGCAATTTTTCCCCCATGATATCTATAGCAGCCACGTTTACTCCGTACCGCAGAAGAGCGCATGTAATTGCTTCGCCGATGCCGGATGCAGCGCCGGTAACGACTGCGGTTTTACCAATCCAGCGATCCATAATTGCCTGTCTGCAAGTACGACGTAGCTCGCGGTTGACATGCCACTAATAACTACCAAGCCGAAAATAATTTCAAGCACGTAAAAAACGCAATTATTAGCATCTACAATCGCAGTGACGTTAAATTCGACCATAAATTTGTGGAAATGGCATTTCGATTAACATCAACCGCGTTAATGCATAAGCTTACCTATGTATCTTCTATTCGCAGCTGTCAGCAAAACTAGTTTATAAGATTCACTACGGAAAACGTATGAATTCGCACGATCACTACTTTAAATAAGTGCGCAGTAGGTCAAACTGGTCATATCAACGATATGATGATTCAGTACGAACTGTGCGTAGCAACTAGAGGCAATAAGAGAGCATTATAAAAGTAATTCTATCTGATAGAGAGCAGAGCTGACTCATTCCTTCGTTTATCAAGTGGGGATAATAATCTCAGAGAGCATATCTGTGTGATCATATATAATATACATATATTTTATAAATTAATGATAATATAAAAATCTAAGGCAAAAAATTATCTAAGACATTTTTGGATATTTTATAATCTTTTTAATTATTATATTATTTTTTCTCTTGTACGAGAGAGCAAATATTTAAATATTATTAAATGCCAAATCAGTAAGCGATATGTATTAATGCATTTTTTTATGATAAAGATGATTGATTATCTTTTTTATGAGTCACAGCAAAATACGAATTGCTACCTTACAAGTTTTTGTACTCATATCATACAACTCTAATAAAGAATATTCCGTAAAAATATGATAACCATTCTTTGTTGCAGGTATGTCCTGCACGTTGAACACGTATAGGCCAGGCACATCATGTAGGAGGACAGAGATCCTTCGGCTTAGGTTTATCCGTTTACCCACTCTGGTTCCGTCCTACGGTTTTGCCGCGGCCTTTACTTGTTTTAAGTGAAGCGCGACGTGACCTGCCGCAATCCCTTCTGTATCCACGTACAATCACATTGGCTTCTGCGTACTGTCTCTGAACCAATCTCTTTCGCGAAGACATCGGGCGGAATATCAGGATATTTCGAAATCCCGGAGATTCCGGTAGACGACTCTCAGAGACTCATCCCGTAAAAGAAGGATCTTATTGTCAAAATATATAACACAAATATTTCAACTTATGACCATCAGAAGTTTGTCGAGACGTTAGCAAAAAACATATTCTCAATATAGAAAAATATTTATACGATAAAAACAGAATTAGTTTTGATACATATCTTGATGTTATATTGCATACATATAAATAATAAAACAGAAATGTTGATTGATAATTTATTGTTAATAAATTTAAATTATTGCTTTGTATACCTAAGAGAATTCAATGTTAGTGAGAAACAAGAGAAATTAAAAGATTTTACTTTATCGTCCCTAATGCACTCGATACACCAATCGAATTCAAAGCTTTAACAGATGATTCCAGTATCAGTATGGAACATCATACGATTTCCATTTTTATCGTCGGTAAAAATACTCAAATAAAAGCAAGTATCGAATTATCTTATTGCGCTGATTAATTTATCTTTTATGTAAACAGCGTCATTATCTCGGATCTACTATGTCAGTAATCTTGAATCTCGCGATTCGAAATGATTCTACTCCTTCTACGAATAAACGATACCCGTTTCCGGACGCAATAACAACGTCGTGTATCGATCTTTGTAAACCGACATCTGGTACTGGGTCTGATATCAGGCCAAGAGCATTATTCTTGTTCACGCGAGACGATGAGGAAATCAACAAGAAAACCAAAGGAAGCTTCTCCCGCCTTTCTTCCCGGCCCAGTTCAGCCCGCCAGATGCTACAGCTATTCGACCATTTCTCAATGTTGCTGTGATTACGCGCATCATTCTGCACTTACCACTATGGCCTCATATTTTTTTCATAGGCAGCAAATTACATAACAAAGTGCAAGCACATAAATATGACCTTGGTCCGCATGAAATTCACGAAATGAAAAAATGATATAAAACATCGATTTCCGCGAGTTAAACAGTATCATGTTACGTTTATACATATATACATATGTCAGAAGTTATATACGCTTTTCTTATACAATTATTCTCGTTATTTCTTATAAAAAAGTCTGTAATACAATAAATACAAAATTATTTAACTCCAAAAATTGAACCTAAAAATTAAACTATTTTAATTAAATAAATTTCAGGATTAGATACTAGTATTTTTTATTTAATATTTCAAGTAAAATTTATATTTTAGTAAAGTTCTAGCTTAAGTTTAATTAACAAAATATTTAATATTTGTCAATTAAAAAAATTAGAATTAATAATAATTAAAGAAACATCAAATTCATATTCGTTGAACAGTTTTTATTTAAAAAAAAGAAGTTTGAAACGTTTCATATAACTTTATAAAACATATATCTCTTTAACAGCACACACGTACTTAAGATTTCATTTCTAATGTTTTACTTACTCTACGGAATGCTTTAAAATCGATGAAAAGCGGGCAATATTTCTTGAGATATCAGAAATATTCGAGCACATGATTTAAGAAGTAATGACCTTCGAACCAAAAATATTATTATACTCCGCGCCAGCTGACGAGGAAATCAAAAAGAAACGTGAAAGAAAGCTGTTCTTCGATTCGGAGCGCCATATGCTTCTACCGCTTGGCTATTTTTCAACGAATCGTGATGACATATACCAATCCGTATTGCTATAAGCCTTATATGCTTTCCTTTCTTATAACGTAACTATGAATTACACATATATTACATGTGGAAGAAAATAGATTTTAACAAATTGGAGCGTTGATGGTTTAGAATAGAAAAGCTTCAAAACAAATCTATATGAGAATAGATATTTTACCCAAATTTACATGTAAAAGAAAGATTTTTTCTTATACATTATAATTTATAAAAAATTTCTCTCTTTTTCTCTCTCTCTTTCGAGAGAGGGAGAGAAATAAATGAGTTTCTCATCATGAAAATTTTACAATTTAATATGAAAATATCTCTCTTATTTACTTCTTTATTTATATACGTTATATATACCCTTTTGCCAATTTCAATAATTTTTGTAAAAACATCTAACAGTTCGACTTGTGTCCAGAATCTTCGATTTTACGGAAGTTGGCTTTACACGTCGTTTCCGTCGGCCAGATGTGGAGAAACGACCATTGGGCACCCATAATTTACGAGTTATCGAAAAAACTTCTTCGGATCTGGGGCGAAGCGGGCGCCCGCCGAGAATTTCCAAAACTTTCTTCTTCGCCAGGTGCAAACGAGATGCAAACAACCCGGCTGTCGGACCATTTTGAAAATTCCAAACGGGTCATCCAGCTAGCTCCGCGTGCGGAAAATGCGAAATCAGCCGCCCACGCGTTCGCACGAGCATCCGATTTCTAATAATTCGGAAACTATGACGACGCGATAGAAACCTTTTAAAAACTTAGCGTGACAAATAAGATTGAAGAGAAGCGTGAAAGAAAATTTTGAAAATCTCGACTCATTGACCTACTTCATCTTGAAGTTGAAGTAGTTGCTGGTGCCGCGATAAGATGCAAACGAAGTGCGGCGACTCCGCGCAGCAAAAACTCAGAGACTTAAGACCGAGTCCATCGTAAAGTTCTCCATTACCGGTCCTGTGCTCTCTCTTTTTCTCTCTCTCTTTCGAGAGAGGGAGAGAAATAAATGAGTTTCTCATCATGAAAATTTTACAATTTAATATGAAAATATCTCTCTTATTTACTTCTTTATTTATATACGTTATATATACCCTTTTGCCAATTTCAATAATTTTTGTAAAAACATCTAACAGTTCGACTTGTGTCCAGAATCTTCGATTTTACGGAAGTTGGCTTTACACGTCGTTTCCGTCGGCCAGATGTGGAGAAACGACCATTGGGCACCCATAATTTACGAGTTATCGAAAAAACTTCTTCGGATCTGGGGCGAAGCGGGCGCCCGCCGAGAATTTCCAAAACTTTCTTCTTCGCCAGGTGCAAACGAGATGCAAACAACCCGGCTGTCGGACCATTTTGAAAATTCCAAACGGGTCATCCAGCTAGCTCCGCGTGCGGAAAATGCGAAATCAGCCGCCCACGCGTTCGCACGAGCATCCGATTTCTAATAATTCGGAAACTATGACGACGCGATAGAAACCTTTTAAAAACTTAGCGTGACAAATAAGATTGAAGAGAAGCGTGAAAGAAAATTTTGAAAATCTCGACTCATTGACCTACTTCATCTTGAAGTTGAAGTAGTTGCTGGTGCCGCGATAAGATGCAAACGAAGTGCGGCGACTCCGCGCAGCAAAAACTCAGAGACTTAAGACCGAGTCCATCGTAAAGTTCTCCATTACCGGTCCTGTGCTCGGAAAACTGTTTGCGTAATAGGTAGGACACAAATGCCGACAAAATTCAAGAAAGTTGCTACAAAGTTCCCTCGCGCCTTTTTTATTTGTTCGCTTAATTATTTCTTTATTTCTCGGGGGAATCCATATTTATTCAATGCGAAAATAAACTCAAAAATCTACGATGTTTGCGGCAAGAAAACGCTAACTGGAAAGCGCATCATTCTAAGCAGGGATGAGAAAAATGAGAAAAGATTTGCCCGTTTTCCGCTTCAAAGCGCCAGATGTTCCCGCTACTCGGCCATTTCTCAACGACGCCGTGATTACACGCATCACTTTGTATAACCGCAACATTATGGATTTCTTTTTCTTATAATCGCAGAATATGCATAATATAAGTGCGTAAAAATTTTTAAGCCTTATCTAGAAAGAAAGAGAGAGAAATGTTAAATAATTTTTTGTAGTTGAAAAGTTTAACTCGATTTTCTAAGAAATGACATACAAGATATTGTTTACTTTTGCATATAAATTGTACGAAATATACATATAAATTGTTTTGTGATGATTCTTTTCAAATAAAAAAAGTGATTGCAAATTACTATAAAGCTTGTTCTAGAATAAAATAGAATAACTATTGAAATCATATTAAATTTTTTCCGTCAACTGAAGCATCGATGAAATAGTGTCAACATTTAATTCTCTCGATAGTTTTTTATAGAGTATCTTCCAAACATTTAACGATTGCCGTTCGAACTTTCGTTATTGAATATATTTTACAAGAATTCCGTATTGAATATATTTTATTTACAAGATGTCGCAGAAGGAGCGTTTTCTATTCGATATTCTAATGAAGAAAATTAGCGCGAACAAAAAAATGAGAATATACAAATACCTAGCTCTTGGTTCCGCCTGACACTTCAACGTCAATTTTAATTTACTATCTTTATCAAATTCTTAATATATTTCATCGGCTATATTAAATTACCAAAGCATGTAACTATATTTTCTTTCTTGTGTGTGTCAC